GTGTGAGTTTTCATTTGAAGCAGACGCTCAGTGCAAATCAGCACGGTTTTTGTCGATGACGATATGTTGAAACAAATGATTTAACCGTTTTGGAGTTCGCAAAACCTATTGTTTGCATAAAATTGAAAGAATAAAACACAGAGGACAAGCACAGGACAACCGCTTGTCCTCTGTGTTTTATTCTTTCAATTTTATGTATTCATGTTCAAGCTGCTCGCCTTCAACAGTCCTATTGTTTGGTCCCGTGGTCATGCTTATGTTATGCATTTTGAGTGTTCGAAGGCCTTTGACCTCGTAGATCACAATTTATTGCTGTCTAAGCTGTCACATATGGGACTTTCTTGTTGTTTCTGCGACTTGTTTGATAGTTATTTTGGTGAATGCTCAAACATGGTTTCCTACTTAGGATGCAGATCTCTCCCTTGTCTGTTAAAATCTAGGGTACCACAAGGGTCGAACCTTGAACCTTTGTTCTTTAATATTTTTGAAAATGACCTTGTCACTAAATTGAGTGACTTCATGCTGATGATGGGAAAATGTCTCGTAGTATTCACACGCCGGTGAACTGTGAATTGTTACAAAAAGATATTGATCCAATTGATTTGTGGTGCTGTGCGAAGTCGCTGATTTTAAACCCCACAAAACCTAAGGCTGTTTCTTTTTCTCATAAGGCAAATGTTGTTGTTCATCCTTGCACATTAGATGGCTCGGAAATTTAAATATCTGCTGTTGTGCGTAACATTGCCATTTTAATCGATTCACGCCTGAGCTATAACTATCATGTTTCGAAGGTTATTAATGATTCCTTGAGCATCACGCAGTACCTATGACTTCCGGAATTACACCTGTATACTGAACGTTTTTTTGGGCTTTGGTTTATCACGGTGGAACTTCTGTTCTGCTGTATGGAAATCTCTGGGTATCAGTCAGGCGCTCAGGTGCAAATACATAAAGAGACGACTTGTGAGAATAGTCTATGATTGCAAAATTGGACGGAGTGTTTTTTATGATTATGTGGTTCTTTTTGACACTCTCAGTCTTTCGCCCCTTTCAAATGGGCGACTAGTTCGCGACATCGTGTTTTTATGTAAGTTGTTCAATTCTGTTTTTGATTCCGCATTGTTATTGAGCAAAATCTCAATTCATGTCCCCTAACAACAAAATAGGTATACTCCTTCTTTTTTACCCATCTTACCTAGAGTCCATGCCTCCGCTGACACGGATGATGCTAATGTACAAATTTTTAACCCTCCCGTGGAATTTTTTATACCTATTAAAAAGTTCAAAAGTAGTATAGCGGTTAAGATTGACGTGTAGTTTGTTCACTTCAGTGCTGTTGTATTATGTGAAACGTAACCCTAAGAAAGGTCCCTAAAGCTGTTTGGAAAACACAATAAAGTTCTTTAATTAAAAAAAATTAAACGGAGTATAACGAGGCACGTTTTTTCTCACTTTCTAAAAAAAGCGACAGACTATTCGAAACCGCAGCTAGGTAACAATGATCAAGTTAGACAATGTTTATAACCTGCTCAAAGATCTCAAGCGATATTTTTAATTTAAATAAAACATAACTACTATAAATGTCAAAATATAGGTTTCGGGCAACTTTCGACACAGTTTTTATGGTTCTTTAGGCCACATTAATTTCGATATTAAAGCCTACTACTACAAGTCGACGGCCATTATTTGACGACTAAAAGACCTGAGTTCTGCACCACACCTTTCCTTGCTAGACTCCCTGAGTAGACTTGATCTACTATTCAAGTTAACTTAATGAAAAATAGATGTTTCGGTTTCCCCAAAATTAATCGTCTCACTCATGTACGCGCTGATTTCCACTTGTCGAGCTTTTACTTACATTTAGAAATGTACTTTGGTAGCTTGAGCAGCTTGACAAGCTGTAGTGCTTACAAAAAAATGATTAGGCACATCCAATCTGTCTTCCGTCTTTTTATTAAGCTAAATACATCTCAAGCAACTGATTCTTACCCTATCACCAAGTGTGTCTAGCATTTATTGGAGGATATAGGATTAGGACTGTGATAGGGCCAGCAATAAACCCATTTTTTATCCACCTGTCAAGTGGAACGTTTTCATAACATGGTCAGTGAAATAGCTCAATTTCGTCAGAATGTACCAGCTAAGGTGGTTATCTAGAAATTAGTTTTACCTCCGTCAAACGTTATACACCCGTCTTTGCTTAGAGATTATCGCTCAAGAGTAATAAACGGAGTTACACAAGTTCATGAAGTCTAGAGAACGACATAGAAAAATCACAATGTTGTTATATTTTCGGCGGCGTGTGTGTGCCAGAATTAATCGCCATCTTGTAAGTAGTTGTTGAAACGGCCCTCCAATTGCTACCTGCGGTATGTTAGAAGAACCCTACACATTCGCCACGTACTTTGCAGGCATTTATTTTTGACTCGAGAAATTATACATTGTTCACGGCCAAACAATATTATTTTTGCCAAATCACTCCTTCAGAAATGTCTCTCCGTCAAATTCACTTGAACAGGTGAGAAACGTAACGTGTCCATTCCTTCTACAAATGTCCTCGGAACACATATCAGCTAAGCAATGATCCGATAGACAGCAGGAGAAGGCCACATTACGAACTGTGAGAAGTGCTTGAGTGTCCAGAAACTAGCAGTGACGTTGATAGAGGTCGTGCACCGTTTGAACCGGGAGGGCCATGCAGTAAGGAGATAATGAAGATCCGAGATACATGAACGGGACACATGTTTGTTAAGGCTAAATGGAAATTCTCAGCACGGCTTCTAATATATAGGTTTGACTGGGTTACAGGTAGTCATCAAAAGTCAAATTTGGCGGTTTTACGTGCCAATCCTACGACGGGCATCTGGCACGCCCCAGCGGAGGACTGAGGATTAATTTCGACCACCTGGGGATCTTTTGACGTGCAACCGAAAGCTCGGTTACCACGGCGCCTTCTCCGCAATAAGCCTCCGTCATATTGCGGGCACCTCGGTCGGGATTCGAACCCGCCACCTGGGTTTCCGTAGGCTGGCGCTCTCGCCTCGGAGCCACCGAGGCGGCTGTACAGGTAGTCATCATAAAATAAAAATATGTGATGCTTGACAGTACTAGAAACGCATTTCAAACTTCTATTAAAAACAAAATGTCGTCAACGTGGTGCACAAATAAGGTTGGATTCATGCGTGCATGCATCTAAAACGTATGTGTTTGTATATGATGTATACTAAAAAAAATAATGATACAAATAAAATGCATAAAATACGAGCCATTCAATAACTAAAACCAATACTAACATTATCGATACAATATTTCTGTTAACATGTTTACAGATTAAGGACGCCAGTTTGTTTTACGAGTAATACAAAATACAGCTAAATGTGACCTTTTTCACGTTGCTTTCAGCAACAGGTTTTAAAAGATTTGAATATCTTGCTATCGAAGGAGCTCGGGTCATTTAGAAGCTGTTGGAACAGACAAAGTACAAGGAGGAATCCGTCTGTGAAGGCCCGTCCAACTACCGGACTGAGCGGTTACAGAATAACTGGGAAAAGGACTCCGGTTTTTGAAGCAAGATCTCGAGACACTTCTACATAGTTCTGAGCTGAGAATGCAGAAATACTTTCATGTTCACGAAATATGTAATTATAAAAACTAGGATAAGCTTTGGCGACCGTGAATAGACGACAAATCGCAGGTTAAGAGATATGTGGTCCCTTGTTCCTGCCAATTACGCACCAAAGGTTGACGCTCATTTTGCGGAAATCGCCAGCAGGCCATTGAAGATCACGGAAGAGTATCAACCTTGGGGGCACGACACTGAGGAGAACAGCAGGAGTCGGCAGAATATAAGACGACTTTTTACCTGTACATTCCGCGAAACGACCCAAAAATATCACGAATCACCAACGCATATACAACAAAACTGGATACTTCTCGTTACTAAGGTCAACATGGATCCGTAGTACCATCTTCTTCGCTTTTCCGAAGCACACGGGTTAAGATCTGTCTGCCTGTCATGGTTTTGTGGAAGGAAGAACGTGAAGGACGAAGTGACGGGTGCGAAAAAGGTGCGTGACGAGCACGAGCGGTGACGTTTGGCAGCTGCTTGAAGGATCTGACCGGCTGTGTCCCGGTATCGACGACCTGAACCAGAACCCGCCGCTACGCACGGTGTGAAGGGAACAGCGGAGGCATGAGCATCTACGCCACCTCAACACCGTCCCTGGACTGAGCGTCTACAGAAGCCAGGAACCAAGCCTCGTCACGACATATGCCGGTGAATCTCTAGGACGATAGCCCGTAGTTCGAACTGCGCATTTCTTGTGACTTTACTTGTAGTCTTCTTACATTTTTTTTCTTCCATACTGATATTTCTTTTGTGTGTGCAAATATATGCCCTGTTTTTTTTTCTAAGTCTCTGTCTCCCGACTCTTTTCTTACCAACCCCGGACGAGCCTGTGACAATTTGGCGAGCCTGCCAGGATGGCGCGGCCCATTACAACCTAGTTCGTTTTTCCGGGAGGTGAGAGAGGAGACGGAGATTTGAGACTGGTGCATTACTATGGAGCTCGATAGAATACTCGCGGCAGCTAAGGAATTGGGGTATACTGGGGACAAGTTAAAAAAAATGGGTTGATGAGGAAAGAGCGCGTAGTAGAGCTGAGAGAGCTCAAGAGCGCGATAACGCTAGGGAGGACCGTGAGGCGGCTCAAAGAATGTTAGCGGCCGAAAGCGCTAAGTTGGATAAGGAACGAGAGGTCCTGCAGTTGAGGATTGCGGCTCGTGAAGGGCGAGGTGAAGGTGCCGCAAATTTGGAAAGCGGCCGCGGGGAAGAGTCGGGCCGAGGGAGTCACGGAAGTCCCCACAAACTGATTCCACAGTTCAATGAACGAAGGGACGATCTAGATGCCTATTTGCAGCGCTTTGAGCGTACCGCAACAGGGCTGGGTTGGCCAGTGGAGAAGTGGGCCACGACTTTAGGCTTATGTTTGACCGGAGAGGCGCTGACGGTGGTCGGCCGACTGACACCTGAAGATGCTCTAGACTACGCCAAGGTCAAGCTGGCGCTGTTCCAGCGATTTCGTTACACTAAAGAAGGATACCGCGAGAGGTTTCGCGACGCCAAACCCGAGGACGGCGAAACGATGAGACAATTTGCTGCTCGACTGGCAGGGTACTTTGATAGATGGCTCGAGATAGCGGGAGTTGAGAAAACGTTCGAATCACTGCGAGACATCATCCTAGTGGAACAATTTCTGTTGACATGCTCGAGCAAGCTGACGGTCTTCCTGAGAGAGCGCAACTGTCAGAGGTTGGATGACGTAGCAGCTAAAGCTGACCTCTTCTTGGAGGCCCAGGTGCAGCATAGCACGGGCAAGCAAAAGCGAGAGGAGGTGACAAACAGGCAAGACGCTGGAAACGAAGATAAACACGCAAGGGGTGGTCTCCGAAAAAGTATCCGCTGCTTCCTTTGTGGGAAGATTGGGCACAAGGCAGAAAACTGCAGAAGTAACGGCCAAGCTATGAGGTCACTGACATGTTGGGATTGCGGCCGTAGTGGTCACAAGGCAGAGAACTGCAAGGGAAGGCAGAGCGAGAAACATCAGGCGTCGTGCTTGTACACGGTGCCAACAGATAATTGCGAAAACGCCGACGATTCCTACGTCACCCTGGATAATGGTGACAAGATCCCGGTAGTGAATGCGGTCATGGGGAGGGCCCTGAAATTTCTGTCGGAGAACATGCCGGTAGTGGAAGGACGACTGGGAGAACACAAGATAACGGTGTTAAGGGACACCGGCTGCAACACCGTGGTTGTTCGCAAAGAACTAGTCCCTCAAGAGAACCTAACTGGAAAGTCGAGTCCAGTGTTTTTATTAGATCGAACAGTTCGGTACCTGCCGGAGGCGGCTATTGTGGTACGAACGCCCTACTACACGGGAAAGGTAACGGCGAAGTGCGTCAGTAACCCCCTGTACGACTTGATACTGGGAAACATACCGCAAATGCGTGAGGCTAATGACTCTGACCCAGAATGGGAAAAGAACAATGAAGACAATCTCGGCGACTGCCTAGACAAGCCGAAAGAGAGATACGAAACGTGTTCGAACGCCATCGGAGTCAACGTGGGCTGTCGCAGGGCAATGGAAGCAACCAAGAGCATCGACGAGCTCCCGGATGAGAAACCAGCCGTAGCTGCGTCCGCGAGCGAGGGGAGAGAAGCTGGAAGACCAATAAGAAAACTAGAACGCCCTCTGAAAGTCGCGCAGGTGTCAGTAACCGACACAACAGCCGAGGAACTCGGAAAGCAGCAGAAAGAGGACGCTACTCTTACGAAGTGTTTCAACGATGTAGGGAAGACAACGAAGAAACACAATTCCAGGACAAGGATTCAGTTTCTGCTGAAGAACGACCTGCTATACAGGAGCGTCGTATACTCATCCGGCAGAAGATCAGAACAACTGGTTCTCCGAAAAAGGTTCAGGGCCGCTGCTGTAACTATGGCACATGACAGCGTTATGTCCGGACACCAGGGGGCGAAGAACACCCTCAATCTGGTGGCGGAAGAATTCTTTTGGCCATGTATGCAAAGCGAAATAAAAAGGTACGTTCGTTCGTGTGACGTGTGCCAACGCACCGTACCCAAAGGCAAGGTGGGCAAGGCCCCCTTAGGAAGCATGCCAATCATCGATACACCTTTTCAAAGAGTCGCGATAGATATCGTCGGTCCTATAGTGCCTATCGCAAGCTCGGGGAAAAGGTATATTCTTACAATGGTTGACATGGCCACGAGGTATCCTGACGCAGTAGCGTTGAAGCGCATTGGGTCCCAGCAAATAGCCGAGGCGTTGGTTCAGGTGTTCACGCGGTATGGAGTGCCGGCAGAGATCCTTAGCGATCGCGGCACCAACTTTACCTCTGAGCTAATGAGAGAGGTGAGCCGGCTTCTATCGATGAAGCAACTCTTAACCACTCCCTATCATCCCATCAGCAACGGCCTGGTCGAGAGGTTTAATGGTACCATCAAGCAGATGCTAAGGAGAGAGAGAGAGAGAGTCGGAAAAAGAAGAACAGAGAGGTTAACCTAGGTTGGAGTCCTGGTTGGCTACTCTGTTTTAGGGAGGGGGTAGTGGGGAGTTAAAAGAGGTAGGAAAGGATAGGAGGACATAGAACAATAAACAAGTAAAAAAAAAGGAATAGTGACACGAGAGCACAAACTATAGATCACATTACAAATAAAGTACGTGTGTCCTTTAGAGGCAGAAGCTCAGCCGCGTTTCCTTTAGGAAACGCAGAAAAGCTTTTGTGGCCCTCGCTGCATTCTGAGGGCTGTCCCAGGTTCCGAGCACTTTCATGACAGAAAACGGTCGGCTGTCTAGTTGCACCAACGTACTCTTGAGGTGTTCTCTTTCCGCGTCGTAGATTTTGCAGTCGCACAATAGGTGAGCAATGGTTTCATCGCATTCACACGTTGGACAGTCCGATGTTCTGGCTTGCCCGATGCGGTGAAGGAAGGACTGTGTATAAGCGACAGCGAGCCGGTGGCGATGTATGACTGCCTCTGTCCTCCGGGGAAGATCACGTGGAAGGTGAAAGGTAAGATTTGGGTCCAACGCGTAGAGGGGAGCATAGTGGTAAGAGACATCGTGCCATAGATTTCTCCTTGCGCTGGCGGCGTGACGATTGATAAGGCATTTAATGTCATTCCGACAATAGGGAATCGTAATAGTTGCATCTAGAGAATGGGCTGACTTCGCACCTGCGTCTGCAGCCTCGTTTCCAGGTAAACGACAATAACCTGGTATCCATTGAAACTGGACAGTGTGTCCTAGATCCAAACACTGCATAAGAAGGGTCATTATTTCGAAAACCAGTTGGTCATTTTGACCGCGTCGCAAAAATGCTGATATTGCTTGGAGGGCCGGCTTGGAGTCAGAAAATATTGTCCACGAGTGGGACAATTGTGTCAAGATGATTTGAAGTGCTTGTTGAATTGCCACTAGCTCTGACATCGTAGATGAAGTTACGTGGCTTAGCTTGAATCGCACGGTTCTACAGTGACTTGGAATGACCACACAACAAGTAGAACTATCAGAGGTACATGAGCCGTCGGTGTAGACATGTGTTCTCGAGAGATGGTTACCGTAAATATGGGACATAGTAACCTGTAAAATCACGACCATTGGCATATTTGATTTTTTCTTGATACCAGGAATATCAAGTTTGACATCTGGTTCCGGAAATCTCCACGGAGGCGTCGTGCAAACTGTGGCTTGTGTAAGATCTCCCGGCAAGTATCGCCGTACCTGAGACAGCGCCTTGGAGTAGCTCGAGTTTGGACGTGCAGATTCTATGGTGGCGAGAGAGTGATCTTCATGCTGAGTTAAGTGTCTTAAATGAAGCCTTAGAGTTTCCTGCATGAGCAGGATGCTTATAGGAATGACGCGTGCTTCTGCTATAGTTCCAATTGTTGACGCACATGCTGGAAGCCCAAGGCAGGCTCGAAGAGCGCGTGCCTGAAGGCTTCGAAGTGTGCCTAAGTTTGTACGGCACATGCCGTTGATAACTGGAAGACTGTACCTAAGCAAACCAGTAAATAAAGCCTGATAGAGACGTAGCAACGCCCGCACTGACGCTCCCCACGTAGTGCCACTAATGAAGCGGGAGAGGTCAATGAATCTCACCAGCTTCCGTTTTAGGTAATTAATATGCGGGGTCCAAGTTAGTACTTTATCAATATATACACCAAGAAATATGTGACTTTTGACGTATGAAATTGTGTGCTTAAAAATGCGAAGTGGATAACGGTCCATGTTCCTTCGAGTGAATGCAATGGCAGCAGATTTGGCAGCAGAGATTTCAAGGCCACGGACGCAAAGGTATCTATGAACTTTCTTTAAAGCTAATTGTACTCTGGCTTTAGCTTGTACGCGAGTGGAGCCGGAAGCCCATATACAGATATCGTCTGCGTATAAGGATACATTTATATTTGGTGGCAACGACTGCACAAGCCTGATAAGCGTGATATTAAATAGGGTTGGACTTAACACGCCTCCCTGGGGTACACCCCGAGAGATGAAATGGTTTGACGTGTCTCCATCTTGCGTGGTCATATAAATGGTGCGATCTGAGAGATAACTTTCGATCCACTTGTAGAGACGGCCTCCGATGCCAACCTCCTGTAGCGCTTGAAAGATGGCATTATGAGTGACACGGTCAAACGCTCCTTTGATGTCGAGAAATGCCGCTATTGTGATCCTCCCTTGAGATCTTTCCTCTTCGACGTAGGTGACGAGATCAAGGACAGGATCCACGGAGCTTCTTCCTCGACGAAAACCATGCATATTTTTTTGGATAAGCGCTTCGTTTTTCCAGATACCATTCTAAACGACGATTAATCATTTTCTCCATCAACTAGCCAACACAACTCGCCAGAGCAACAGGACGGTATGATGATAGAAGTAAGGGCGACTTGCCAGGCTTCAGTAATGGAACAATTCTTGCCCGTTTCCATGTGTTAGGTACTTCTCCATTTGTCCATAATTTGTTAAAATATTCCCGCAGCCAATTGCGAGCATCAGTCCCCATATGTGTTAAGAAAGCATATTTTGTCCCATCTGGACCGGGACATGAGTTTGTTTTTATAAATACAAGAGCGGCATCTAGTTCGCCACGAGTGAAGACATCGTCCATGCAGCCATCAATAGCTGATGGTGCTGCAGCGGTAGGGACAGGACGACTTTTCGGCATGGAAACACTCGACGTGAGAGATGCACAAAACTCGTTTGCAAGATCTTTTTGTGAACATGCCGCCGACAACGCAAGTGCTCGGAATGGGTGATATTGTTGAGGAGGAGACTTAAGGCCTCCAGCTATTTTCCAAATCGCGGAAAGTGGCTTGCGGGGATCAATATTTCCACAAAATCCCCTGTATTTACGTTGACCGAGCTTGTCAAAATGGCGGCTTATTTGTTTTCTGCAGATTTCTTGCCGCGCGAATATCGTCTTTTTCTTTAGTTCGTCGAGCACGCCTAAGGAAGATGTGCAAAGAAAGACCAAAGGATTGGGATAGATGTCTCCCAGCTTTGCTTTTCGCCTACAGAGAGGTGCCCCAGGCTAGCCTCAGGTTCTCGCCATTTGAACTGCTATACGGGAGAAGAGTACGAGGACCACTGGCCATCCTCAAGGAGTTGTGGTCGAACGAAGCCCTGAAGGAAGACATGAAGACGACACATGGATACATCTTGGAACTAAGGGAAAAACTAGAGCAAACATGCAAGCTGGCGCACGTGTGCCTGCATGAAGCAAGGGAGAAGTATAAGAAATACTATGACAGAAAGAGCTGCAACCGAAATATGAAGCAAGGAGACCTGGCGCTCATTTTGCTCCCCACCGATCTGAACAAGATGATCATGCAATGGAAAGGTCCCTTCCCCGTAGTCGCGAGAAAGAATGATGTGGATTACGAGTTGGACGTAGGAGGCAAAAAAAAGGTGTATCACATCAATATCCTTAAAAGATATGAAGAAAGAGAAGGAAGTCAACAAGGTAGACAACATTGCGGTATGGTAATGGATTCTCAAGAGAAAGATGAAGTCGCAAGCGAGCTAAGTTTTGGAGATACAGAGGGAATTCCTACGCCAAGCTGGACGAGGCAGCAAGGATGGGAAGACGTCAACATAAACGAACACTTGGAATCCCAAAAGCGTGATGAGGTACGAGAGCTGATTGAGGACTTCAAAGATATATTTTCGAACCTTCCAGGTTGGACAAGTCTGCTGACCTGTGACCTTCAACTGACTACGTCCCGACCAATACATGTGAAGCAGTACCCACTGCCGCTGTCGGTTCAGGAAACAGTCGAGCAAGAAATCGACGAGATGTTAGAGCTGGACGTGATTGAGAGATGTAACTCATCATACAACGCGCCAGTGGTAATGGTAAAGAAACAAGACGGATCAAACAGATTTTGCATTGACTAGTGGAGGCTCAATGACGTGACCAAGCCCGATGCGGAACCAATACCACGGATCGACGTCACGTTTGCTAAGGCGGGACAGAAGCGCTTCTTCTCGAAGCTTGATGTAGCAAAAGGGTACTAGCAGATACCTATGAAAGAAGAGGCCAAGGAAAAGACTGCCTTCTCTTCGACGAGTGGGCTTTACCAATTCAAGGTCATGCCCTTTGGTTTAAGAACGGCTTCTGCGACATTCACGAAACTGATGCGAAAATTGTTAGACGGCATCCCAGATGCACACCACTACATCGACGACATCCTGATCGCCACAAGCTCGTGGAGAGAGCACGTTGATACGCTTCGCTGCATTTTTAGGCGCCTGCGCGAGGCTAATATTACCGTAAAGCCAAAGAAATGTGAAGTGGGCTTTAAGGAGATCAGCTTTTTGGGACACGAGATCAGAATGGGAAGGATATCACCGGGCCCTAAGATCATTGAACGGATTCAAGACGTACCAAGACCGCGAACGAAGCGACAAGTAAGATCGTTCCTTGGACTCACGGGGTTCTACCGTGAGTTCGTAGAGGACTATGCGGGTCTTGCCGCGCCGTTAGTAGACCTCACCAGAAAAGAAGCCCGCAATGAGGTTGAATGGGGGCCGGAGCAAGAGGAGGCCTTCAATGAACTAAAGACCAAGCTGGGACGTCCTCCAATCTTGCTGGCGCCAGACCCCGAGAAGGAGTTCGTGCTAAGGACAGACGCGTCGGACGCGAGTCTGGGTGCAGTGATGCTTCAAGAAGAGGAGGGAATGCTACATCCCGTGGCGTACGCCAGTAGAAAGCTCAGCACCGCAGAAAGGAACTACGCAACGATAGAAAAGGAATGTCTGGCATTGGTATGGGCCGTTGCCAGATTTAGGTTGCTTCTGTACGGCAGAACTTTTCGAGTTCAGACCGACCACCAACCACTGGAATTCCTAAACAAAGCTAAGCATACAAATAGGCGAGTGATGAGGTGGAGTATGGCTTTGCAAGATCATAGCTTTCACGTGGAATACA